TTATCACGACTTCACGATTGAGACATTTTTCCCGTTGAACAAAGCGGTTTGAAGAGCACATATGTTGTCCGCAGTAGCTGTCTAAGAACCAAGTGTCTTGGCCGGACGACTCGCTCTGAGCGATGGCCGCGTATGTTGGATTTGGTTCCAACGATTCGCGACGAGGTGTGCGTTCGTCGAGCAATTCTTCTGGTGAGTAAGTCATGTTAGAATAGTAGCTAGGAAGGTAGGAACCATGTTAGGGTGTTGAGAGTGTTGAGGCAAGGAATGTCGAGAAAGAATGTTTCACTAAAGGGCCAAAGGCCCAAGTTATACAAGAGACAAGTAAGGAGGGGGGTGCACCACAAGCAGGACAGAGATATAACTACACTACGGCTAGAACTACATGCAGTTATACAGAAATATATTCTAACACACCCCCTAGTTGCATGCAGGAATAGCCATGTGCATAACACCCCCTGAAGGGGTACACCCTGCGCAGCAGAGGAAGGAGAGGGCAAGTGAAGAGGAGGAGGGACCATGAGAGGAGAGGAGGTGGTGGGTGGCGGCTGAAGCTGCTGGCACACGGGCAACTGGAGCAACTGGCACACTGGCAAATGGAGCAACTGGCACACGTGCAACTGGAGTAACTGGCTCCGCGGCTAAGCGAGCGGCAGGAGCAACTGACTCACGGGCGACAGGAGCAACGGGCTCACGAGCAACTGGCGCAACAGTCTCACGGGCGACTGGAGCTGCTGGCTTCACGGCGTCCACCCCCCTACAACTTCCCCCATTCCCCCAAACCTCCCTGTCACAACCCTCAGCATCCCTACCTCCACTCCCTCATCTCCCCCACACCCTCCCCCCCCCCCCCCCCCCAAGCGGCATGTGCAGCAGTGGGAGAGAGAGGAGGAGAGGCGGCAGCAGTTCACTCACACCCGCCACCCCCTTACCCTCCCCCCCACTGCTGCACCCGCAGCAGGGGGATGGAGGAGAAGGGGGGGGGGGCGGGGGGGTGGGGCTGGTGCTGCAGATCCCCTCCCCCCACTGCTGCACCCGCAGCAGAGGGATGGGGGAGAAGGGGGGGGGGGCGGGGGGGCTGGTGCTGCAGATCCCCTCCCCCCCACTGCTGCACCCACAGCAGGGGGATGAAGGAGAAGGGGGGCGGGCGGGCGGGGGGGCTAGTGCTGCAGATCCCCTCCCCCCCACTGCTGCACCCGCAGCAGAGGGATGGAGGAGAAGGGGGGGGCTGGTGCTGCAGATCCCTCCCTGCCACCCCCTTAACCTCCAGGCTCCCCCCCTCCTCCCTACACAGCGACAAGTGCGGCAGGGAGAGAGAGGAGGAGGTGGTGGGCGGCTGACTACTCACACCTGCCACCCCCATACCCTCCCCCCCACTGCTGCACGCGCAGCAGGGGGATGGAGGAGAAAGGGGGCTGCGGGGCCGGTGTAGGAGCCACTCGGGCGACAGCAAGGCGTGCGACGGGCAGGAACCCGTCGTGCGCCACACCCGCCTCCCCCATACCCTCCCCCCACTGCTGCACGGGCAGCAGGGGGATGGAGAAGAATGGGGGGGGGGTGCTGGCTTGGTGACGAAGCAGAGCAGCGGGGTGGTGGAGGTGCAACCCCCCCCCAACACCACTCCTGCGTCCCCCCAACACCCTCCCCCCCCCCTCCCCCTGCCGAAACTGCTGCACGCGAAGTAGGAGAGGGAGAAGGAAGTGGGCGGCGGGGACGACGGGAAGTAGGGCAGCGGGGCCCCCGCACGACGGGCAGAAAACCGTCGCACGCTGGGGGCGAACGACGGGCAGAACACCGTCGCGTGCTGGGGGTGCGCGACGGGCAGAAACCGACGCACGCCCGGAGCGTGCGATGGGCAGAAACCGCCACACGCCCGGGGCGTGCGACGGGCAGAAACCGACGCACGCCCGGGGTGTGCGACGGGCAGAAACCGACGCACACCCGGGGCGTGCGACGGGCAGGAAAAAAACTTCGGGCGTCAGCGAGGCGGACGCCATGCGAATATTAAAATATGGTGGGCCCATTGGGTCGTAACCACTCTAATACCATGTTAGAATAGTAGCTAGGAAGGTAGGAACCATGCTAGGGTGTCGAGAGTGTTGAGGCAAGGAATGTCGAGAAAGAATGTTTCACTAAAGGGCCAAAGGCCCAAGTTATACAAGAGACAAGTAAGGAGGAGGGTGCACCACAAGCAGGACAGCGATATAACTACACTAGAGCTAGAACTACATGCAGTTATACATAAATATATTCTGACAAGTCGGTGGTGAGCCAGTGATGCAGGAGTCTGTTCTTGTCATGCAGCTTATGATGTTTCTTGTTCCTCGTGCAAGTTGCGACGTTGACGTTGAAGACTGCGCCTGGTTGGAGGGATGTAGCTGTGTGGAGGCCACCTGACTGCTTGAAGGTCGAAGCTGACGTGATGGTGGCGTTGATTGCTGTTGATTCGGGCAGTGAACACGAGAGTATCCTGCCGTTCGACAAAGGTGACAGAACGGTGGTACGTATCTTTGTGCTTGATGCTTGTGTTGTCGGTTGTTGTTGCGCCGCTGAGTATGAAAGGCAAACTTTGGTACTGATGCCTTTTTCTTGTGTCGTTCTTCGTGCAGGTCCATATCTTGTTGCTCGGCATGAATTTCTTCGCAGAGGTTTGCTTCGGAGAGTCTTCCGTGGGCCCGGAGAATGGCCCAGGTGGAACGCCACTGAGGACCGAGGCGTGCGATGACGACAGTGACAAAGGCGTCTTCGGATAGTGCCACACCGCACCGAAGGAGTCTGACGCGTAGACCGCAACAGCGACTGATATAAGACATTCCCTTTTTACCGGGTGTCAGAATCCCAGTCACTAGACCACTGGGATAAAAGGGCTTGTTAAGTAGCGGGTCAGTGCGCCCATAACCCCCCAGGACAACGAGCCTGTAACCCTTCTCTGGGATCAATCGGGGATCACCAGTGGACCTCTGACACCCCCCCGCACTGGGATGCCCGAAGTGCACACACTGGGATTCGAACCCGAGACCTTTGCTCTGATACCATGTCAGAATCCCAGTCACTAGACCACTGGGATAAAAGGGCTTGTTAAGTAGCGGGTCAGTGTGCCCATAACCCCCCAGGACAACGAGCCTGTAACCCTTCTCTAGGATCCATCGGGGATCACCAGTGGACCTCTGACACCGGGTTGCATTTGGACTGTTGTCAATTGTGCCATGAGACGACTCTGATTCACACTGTAGTTTATTTGATAAAGGTTCTTCAGATGGTTGTACGTGAGCTCGGTGGAGTTACCGTATCTGCGATAAGTTCGGATGTTCTGCTGCTTGTTTGCCATTAAGTTTCGCAGGAGAATAGTGTACGCCATCAGTGACTGATACGTGTACTGCTGCTTGTCGTACTGTGTCCCGTGCGTTGGATATGGCAGGGAACCATTGAAGAAACCAAGGATTTGAGCACCTTCCATCCTCAGCTCGAATTCGAAGGACCAGGTATAGAAATATTTTCTGTCGAACGGTGTTGACGTTTGTAGTTTTAGCACGTGTGCGAATTGTGACTGCAGCTGAAGTGCATCCAGTGTCTTCGTCTCTTGTCCAGGTGGAAGTCGGTTCGGCATGAAGCTGACGGAACCGTGTTGGGGCTCATACGGTGCAAAGGTAGGTTGTTGATTTCCGCGCGCAAAAGAGGAGCCATCAAGGCTCATGGGAGTAACTCCGTTTTTGTTGTCGCTGTTGTTTGATTGTGCAGGTGCCGCTTGCTGTTGTTGTTTGTAGAAGGACATGAAGGCGAAGAAATTCTCCATCATGCTTAGGTCAAAGCCAGATGTCGGATTTGCGGGTGCTTCAGTAGATTCTCCAGTTGGTCCTTGGGCAGTGCCTCCTTCTGTTTGTAATCCAGAGACTGGAGGTGGAGTAGGAGTGGTACCACGAGATCCAGTAGATGAGCTCCTTTCTTTCTTCGTTGCCATGTCTCCTATCGTTGCAGGAAATGGAAATAGTTGAGCCTTGTCCTTGCTAGCTCTCATACCATGTTGGGCTGAGAAAAGCCCTTAGGATCGTTTTCAAGGACTAAAGCTTAGAGTGATGTATTAGCAGAAGTGTCTTTAATGAAGGCTGATTGAACCACCTTGTAATGGTGTGTGAGAACAAGATAAGTTGATTATAGCATAGAGATACAAGGCTTCTATATGATTACAGAGAATATGAAAGGTTTAACTAACTGCAATTGTAACTGCTAATGCGGTTCGATACAGCGACGACTCGGGTAAATTCTCAATAGCAAGTCAGTTATTTGTCCTTGCTGTCGTGCTACCTTTGTCGAGTCAAAGGTTGCTGACCTTTGACCTTCGCTTCAACATCCTGCTGTTGTCGCCTTGTCAACCGCTTCGCTGTAGCTTGGTTGACTCGGTGTTGCTTCGCTGTGAGTCTGATTTGTTCTTGTTATAGCACTTGACACATCAGAAGCGCGATCTATATGTTTCCAACAGAAGGTTCAGAGAGTTGGCGCTGGACAAGCTCCCCCAGCTAGCACATGTAGTGAGATCTCTGCCCCGTTTCCTCGAGATTCTCTCCGTGGGAAGCTTTCGGCGGCTCACCCCTCTGCTGGAAATCCCTGGACTGCCAAGGCTGAGGGAATTGAGCTTGACCAGTGTAGGGCTCATGCGTGGGCTGGTCTCTGGCATGACTCTGCCTGGTCTAGAGTGCTTGGAGCTGTGGCTGGTTGTAGATGCAGAGGAGTTCCCATTGCCTCTGGAATCCTTCCCTAACCTCCGCAGCTTAATAATCCAACGAGCTGGTCGCATGAAGAAGCTTCCGGAAGGGATTGGTTCAACCTTGCAGCGGCTGAGGCAGCTGGCAATACACCAGGCTGTGGAATTGACAGAGCTGACACAGAGTCTTACTGAGATTCACAGCCTCACATCCATTGAGATCCATGCACCTAGGCTCTCCGCTCTTCCATACGGCATTGGGGCCTTATCCCAGTTGCGCGAGCTGAATCTAGCCAACTGCTCATCCCTCGTCCAGCTCCCGGCTACTCTCACCCGGCTCTGTTGCCTTAATGAGCTGAGGAAGGAGAAACAAGAATTCAACTATTATGCACAAGTTCAGTGCAAAGATTGTCGGAGTTACTCCCCTCTCCTTCCTCACTCATCTCTTGCACTTGCCTCTTCCCTGTCTTCTGTCCTCACCTTCTTCCCTTCCTTCTTATTCTGGCCTTTCCCCACCTTGTGCTGTCCCCACGCCTGCTGCCCTGTTCCCTTCTTCGTACTCAGCCACTACCAATGAGAGATTCAGGCTCCCACACGCAGGCCGCCCACAGTGGCGCAGTCACCTAGCTTAAGTAGCTTTAGAACAGTAACACTTGACCACTATATGAGGCGAACAAGACGAGAGATCAGGTTTGCTATGCTAGGCTAGGCTATTTGTGCTTGGCTGCCCAGTCGCGAGTAACTCAGCGTGCTGGGTTGAGCTCGAGCCGCCTGGGCCTTGGATTGGCCCTCGCCAGATTGCCTGTCTCCCGAGGTTCCTGAAATTGTCCCCGAAGCGCCCTGTAACCCCCAATGCTACCAACTTCTCGCTACTCTCTATAACCCAACTACCCCACATGCAGATTGAATAACACTCGCTACACCACTTCTACACCCAATTGGCACATGCCTCCAATATGATGCTCTTACCATTATATTCGGTGACAGCTGTCAGAGTTACTCCCCTCTCCTTCCTCACTCATCTCTTGCCCTTGCCTCTTCCCTGTCTTCTGTCCTCAGCTTCTTCCCTTCCTTCTTATTCTGGCCTTTCCCCACCTTGTGCTGTCCCCACTCCTGCTGCCCTGTTCCCTTCTTCGTACTCAGCCACTACCTGCCCCCTCCTGTGCTCGTGCTCGAGCTGCTCGGGCGTGAGTCACAGGAATCTCAGCTGAGGACGGCTGCTCTTCAGTCCTGCCGTGCGGGTCTGGTTGTCCACGGTCTGTTCTCCCTTCTCCTTCTCCAGCACGAGCACTCCCACGCCTCGCACTGCTTGCGCCCTCCCCTTCACTCTTCCCTATGCCGCATCTAATGTATCCTTCTTTGCCCCTCTCTTCCCGTCCCACCTCTATAGCCGCCTTGATCCCCTTGCCGTCCTGCTGCTGCCACTGCTCACAGCAGCACGCATCCCTCAACTGGCCGGTATGTAGCTCCTCCACTGCCGCCGGTGTCACCTCCTGTAAGTGTTCCGCTGCCTTAGCTCGCTCCCATGCCGCCCGATTCTCCGCCTCTTCCATTGTATGGTCTACCTTTTTCCCCGCTGCTAGGGGCTCCCATGCCCCCACTTCCTTACTCTCCCGCTCTGCTTCCTCCTGCTCCTGGGCCTTGCCTCTCGTTGCTTCTTCTATCATTTCTTCCCCCAGAAGCTCTGGCCTTCCTCCCCGCAGCTTCCTCACATGCTGCTCCGCCAGCTTAAGTCCCTGCGCTTGCTCCTCTGCTTGCGTCCAATCCTTCACCGTCACACCAGTCTTCACCCCTGCCCCGATTTCCCCGAACAACTCCGCTGTCCTTAGCGATGGCTGCCAACTACTCCCTCCCATGTCTGTACTGCTCAGCCCCGTCTTCCCTCCCTTCTTCACTGCTCCCTCTTTCTCGCCCTTCCCTTCCGCTTCTGCTGCTGCTGGTACACACGCCCTGGCCCCCGCCTCTTCGTCCCTCTCCTCTATTTTTGCTGCTGCAAGTACACCCACTCCTGCCCCCACCTGCTCGTCCTTCTCCTCTGCTTCTGCTGCTGCTGGTACGCACGCCTAGGTCCCCTCTTTCTCATCCTTCTCTTCCCCTTGTGCCACTGCCGATGCCTTCACCTTCTCGTTCTTCTCTTCCCCTTTTGCCACTGCCCATGCCCTCACCTTCGTCGCTCGCTCCCTTCCTTCGTCCCTGCCCCCACTGCGCAGCCCCATGGCTTCACTGCTACGCAGCACCGCACAGGAGTATTCTGGCTCCTGCTCCCCTTCCTCTTCCTCATCTTCCTCCCTTACATACAACCCCGCCTGCCTCTCTGTTCTTCCTTTCAGCGCCCGCCCTTTCCTTCCGTCTCTGCCCCCACTGCGCCGACCCAGTTCCTCACGGCTACGTAACGCCAGGAATGTGTACTCTGGCTCCTGCCCCTCCTCCTCTTCTGCTCCTTCTTCCCTCGCGTACAACCCAGCCTCCTTCTCCTTCCTCCCTCCCAGGTCCTGCAACTGCACCTGCAACTTCCTTATCTGCCTCTTGATCTCCTCTAGTGCCCCTTTTGTTCCGCCTGCCCCTTTATCGCATTCCCTTGCCTCATGCCCCCTTTCTCCGCACTCCTTACATGTCGGTGCCTCCGGGCAGTCCCTTCGGCGGTGCCCAGGTTTCCCACATACATCGCAGTTCCTGCAGTGGATCCTTATGTGCCCCGGCAGCCCACACCGGTAACAGGTGCGTGTCTCTGTCCTTTTCTCCGGCCTGCTCTCTTCTCCCCCTCCTGTCTCATGTATCATTGCTGCAGCCTATGCGGGGTTCTTCCTCTCTGTCGGCCTCGGCAAATACACCTCATACTTTCTCTGCGCCAGCTCCACTCTCTCTGCTAGCTCAAACACCTCCTCAGGTGTTGCGTCCGCTCCTAGCTCATAGACTCTCATTCTCAGTCCTCCAGCCAGTCCCTTGTCCAACCCATTCAGAAATTACTAATGATCATACTGCTGTCCGTGCACACCACGTCTTCCGCTAGATTCATCAACCGCCCATAATACGTCAGCAGGGATTCCTCGTCCCTCCTCTTGAACTCCTGAAATTCTTTGATGCGTGCTGCTGTATGCCTAGGGAATTGCTTCCTCAGCGGCTCCAAGAACAGCACCGTGGAGTCCTCGTCATCCTCTTCTGCCCTCCTCAGCCATTCACCAATCTTCATGCGATACAAAGTCTCTGCTTCCCCTCCCAACGTGCTTGGCAGGCTCACGAAAAACTCGATCGGGTCCATCCCGCTTCTGTCGCATCGGTATTCAACATTGCTGATCTGCATCAAATAATTCTTCAGACTTGGACCAACATTTCCCGTGAATCGCAATGGCACCTCCACTCGCGGCTGTGCTGTTGCGCCCCACTTCCCTGTTTCCCAGCTCTCCGTCCCTCCTCGCTCATACATCATAACCCCTCTCCTCCTTTCCTTTTTTCCCCTGCTGCCCGTGCAGGTACCGTACAGCACTCGCTCTATTCCTTTCCTAGCCGCTCTTGCTCCTGCAGATCCTTCGCCGTGACGCCCAGGCCTCCTCGGGCCCATCGAGCTGGGGCACCTCCCTCGAGCATCGTCACGCTCCCCCCAACGCCTCTCTGCATCTTCCCGACGCTTCTCTCCCCTTGCAGGGGACCGCTCCTGGTACTGCCGCACTCTGTCCTCTCGCTGTCGCTCCTTCTCTGCTGCCCTCAAGACTTCTGGTGACCGCACACCTTCTCTCTTGCCTCGCCTGTCCTCCTCGCGTCCCTTTCTCTTTCTGGTGAGCGCCACCCGCCTCTTTCCTCGTAATCTCCGCGCTCTTCCCAGCCTCGGTGCTCCTGATCCCATCTTCCCGTTTCTCCTTCCCTTCCTGCCTCTTCACCCCGCTGGTATTGCTCTCCTTCGCCCCTCCTCACACGTCTCTCTCTCTCTCGGGCCACCTTCTTGCTTCTCCGCCTGTTTCCTTTGCAGCCCTCCTCTCTGCCCACAGGTGTTCTTCTGCTTTCTCACGACGCGCTCCCGCATCTGCCTCTGAGGCGCTGGGTGACAAACGTTCGCTACCCCTGCCTCGCGCCCTCCCCTCCGGCCGCCGCCTCCTTGCTGGCGAGTTCTGAACGCGCTTTCCTTCGTAATCCTCGTCCTCCTCCTCTTCCGACCACTCCGGTGATCTCCTTCCTCCCATCGCCATACGCTTCCTGCCCGCCCGGCTTTGTCCTGGCTCCGCGCAGCACGACTCTTCTCCTCCTCCCCTCGCTCCCTTGACAAGGGCTCAGCTGCTTTGCTCCTGCTGCGCCTCGCTTCACCTCCACGCGGTCCCTTGGGCGAGTGATCTGCCGCCCTGTTCCCCCGGCGTTTCGCGCCACTCCCGCGCATCTCCTCTGGCACATGATCTGCATCCGCGATTTGCCCCTGGCACCTCGCGTCACTCCCGCGCATCTCCTCTGGCGCACGATCTGCATCCGCGATTTGCCCTTGGCGCCTCACGTCACTGCCGCGCATCTCCTCTGGCGCACCATCTGCATCCGCGATTTTCCTCTGGCGCCTCACTTCACTCCCGCGCATCTCCTCTGGCGCACGATCTGCATCCGCGATTTGCCCTTGGCGCCTCGCGTCACTCCCGCACATCTTCTCTGGCGCACGATCTGCATCCGCGATTTGCCCCTGGCGCCTCGCGTCACTCCCGCGCATCTCCTCTGGCGCACGATCTGCATCCGCGTCGCGCTCTTCTTCTGCGACCCCTTCCTTCTCCTCCTTGCCATCGGCCTCGCTTGCCGAATCCGACGAGTCCGCCACGCCCGCGTATTTGCGACGCCTTTCACCCGCTCCTTGCTGGCCGCCTGCCAGATTCCAAGGATCGTTGCAGGACGGTCTAGGCCTGGGCTCCGTCCGCACGTGCAGATCGGCCTCGCCTCCTTCTTGGCGTCCTCCCACGCGTGTCACCAGATCCGCGCGGTACGCCGCCCTCTGTGGCGAACGCGTCCGCGATCTCCCACGCTCTAATGAGCGCATCCTCGACGACAGTGACAATTCGCGCCGCGAGTTCATCTGCTGCCAGCGCAGCTCGTGGCAGTCCATACTGCCGAGTGTTCTCTCGTCTTGTGAGAGATTTAGGCTCCCACATGCAGGCCGCCCACAGTGGCGCAGTCACCTAGCTTAAGTAGCTTTAGAACAGTAACACTTGACCACTATATGAGGCGAACAAGACGAGAGAACAGGTTTGCTATGCTAGGCTAGGCTATTTGTGCTTGGCTGCCCAGTCGCAAGTAACTCAGCGTGCTGGGTTGAGCTCGAGCCGCCTGGGCCTTGGATTGGCCCTCGCCAGATTGCCTGTCTCCCGAGGTTCCTGAAATTGTCCCCGAAGCGCCCTGTAACCCCCAATGCTTCCAACTTCTCGCTACCCTCTATAACCCAACTACCCCACATGCAGATTGAATAACACTCGCTACACCACCTCTACACCCATGTCTCCAATATGATGCACTTACCATTATATTCGGTGACAATATGTATGGGTTGCATTTTTGTACTGATTTGGGTTAGGCTACCGGTAGATCTACTAGGAAATGATGCTCAAATGCTATGGGGGGGGCTGGATTTATCTATGGTAGTGGTGGCGTGACATTTGTTGTTGCGTTGAGTTTGAGATGAAGCCCTTGATATTTTTGGAGACTAATTCTGTTTCTCTACAATCTCCAGTCCAGAAGCCCAAGATAATGTCTGCAGGTGGTGGCTGCAAGCAAACCAATCAATCTCCTCTTATTTGATGGGCTGAGAAAATCCCTTAGGATCGTTTTCAAGACTAAAGTCTCAGAGTAGTGATGTATTAGCGGAAGCGTAATAGTGAACTAATTGAACCACCTTGCACTGGTATGTGAGAACAAGATAAGTTGATAATAGCAAAGAGATACAAAACTTTATATGATTACAAAGGAATATGAAAGGTTTCACTAACTGTAACTGCTGCTGCGGTTCGATACAGCGACAGCCGGTAACTGCTCAATAGTGAGTCAGTTATGTGTCCTTGCTGTCGCGCTGCTTTTCGGCGAGTCAAGGTCGCTGACCTTTGACCTTCACTCAACCTCTTGTTGTTGTCTTTCTGTCAACCACTTTGGTTGAATCTCTGTTGCTTTGCTTCAGTTCGCTTCGCTTTTGTTGTAGTGCTCGACACATCAGAAGCGAGAACTATATGTTTCCAACACTCCCCTTCGCTTCTGGAGTGTCTTTGCCTTCGTTGCTGATGACGTGGCTTTGTCCAGTCAGCAGCATGCAGTACTCGAACTTCTGCTTTCCAAGTTTCTTGGTCAAGTAATCTACTGCCATCTCGGACGTGGGGCAGTAGGATAGCTCGAGTCTCCCTTTCTCGATCTCGTCCTTCACGAAGAAATAACGCAGGGCAATGTGCTTCGTTCGGTTCGCGAACCCGCTCTTATTCGCTATGCGAATTGCATATTGGTTGTCACAGAAGAGGGAGAAGCTGGGTGACTGGGCTAGCTTTGTTTCTTCTAGTAGTTCGAGAAGGTACAGTCCTTCCTTGGTGGCTGAGCAGAGTGCTATGTATTCAGCTTCAGCAGAGGAGAGAGCAATTAGTTCTTGCTTGCTTGACTGCCATGAGATAGGACCGATGGGCTCGAATCGATAGATGTAGCCGGTGCGCGATCGCTTGTTATCATAATCGCCTGCGTGGTCAGCATCTATGTAGCCGATTAGCTTTGGAGTAGTGGTTCCGGTCTTGTGGTAGGTTAGGCCGATCGTTGGCGTGCTGACGAGGTAGTGTAAGGCGCGGTCGACTTCGGCCATGTGCTCTGCTTCGGGCAGCTTGAGGTGGGTAGCAAGCTGACTCGCTGAGTATGACAGATCCAGTCGGCAGGTGACGGCTGCGAAGAGCAGACAGCCCAGTTTTTGTTGGTAGTCGCGTAGGCTGGCAGGTTGGATTTTTCCTGGTGATTTCCCGCGGTGTAGCGGTACGGCGTGGAAATGGAGGCTGGTGTCAGTCCGAAGCGTTTTGCGATGGTGTCGGCGTATTTTGCGGCGCTGAGGTAGATCGTGTTCTCTCCGTCTAGAATATTGAGTCCAAGGTAGTGGGTCACGGTAGAGGAAACCGTGAGTGAGAGATCCTGTTGCAGCTCCCCTTCAAACCAGTTGGTGATGCCGTCGGTGGAGCCTATGTATAGTAGGTTGTCTATGTTAGAATGTGAGAGAATGGAATGAAACAGAAAAGAGGGATTGCACTAGCAAGCAGTTGAGTACATATAGCAAACCCTAGATTGGGCTGTACTCACTATTGAGTACCCCACTACAGGCTAGACAAATATAACATTCTGACACACCCCCATAGCCAAAGTGGGGTGTAATCAGCACAACAAGCAAGCAAAAAACAAGCTCAGGGTGGATCACAATGTCACCACACATTCTGAGCACAAGTACAAGAAGCAACAGTTTATAGTTCACAGTAATAAGTAAAGCTAGAGGCTATCACAGAGGGCAAGTGAGGAGGAGGAGGCTGGACTGATAGGAAAGGAGACAGGAGGCAACGGCTGAAGCTGCAGACACACGGGCAACAGGAGCGGCGCGCACTGTGGCTACCGGAAGCGCACCTCCGGACTACAGGAGTAACTGGCTCCGCGGCTAAGACGAGCGGCAGGAGCAACGGACCCACGGGCGACTGGCGCAGCAGGCTCGCTGGGCTACCGGAGGCGCACCTCCGGACTAATGGCGCTGCTGACGACACGACGGCTACCTCCCTTCAACCTCCCCCACTGTCGCACCCCCCTTTCACACACCCCCTGCTGCACCCCTAGGTTCACTCCCACACGACACACCCCCCTAGTACCACTCCGTCGTCTCCCACACACCCACCCCCCTCAGCGGCAGCTGCAGCAGCGGGAGATGGAGGAGGAGAAGGAGGGGACAGGAGGCGGAACGCGGGCTGCAGAAGGGGCAGCACGGGCCCCCAAGGGCTCCACAGCGGGCGACGGCACGGGTGGGAGGGGGCCGCGCGCTGGCCCCGAGGGCGCCACGACAGGCGTCAGTAGGGGGGGGGGGGCGCGCGCTGGCCCCCAATGGCGCCACGACGGGCGACTGGGGTGGGGGCCACGCGAGCCCCCGAGGGCGCCACGGCGGGCGTCAGGAGGGGGGCCGCGCGCGGGCCCCCGAAGGCGCCTCGACGGGCGACGGAAGGGGGTCGCGCGCGGGCCCCCAAGGGCGCCACGTCGGGCGACTGAAGGGGGGGCCGCGCGGGTCCCCGATGGCGCCCCGACGGGCGACGGGAGTTCCGCGCCAGAGCCCCCCCGGGGCGCCGCGACGGGCGACAAAACCGTCGCACGCCCCGGGGCGCGCGACGGGCAGGGCACCGTCGCGCGCCACGGGTCGCACGACGGGCAGAATAGGGCGCTGCGCTGCCCCCAGAGCAGTGCGACGGGCAGAAAACCGCCGCGCGCAAAATGGCCGCGCGCCATGGGCGCGCGGCAGGCAGGTGTCAAACTTATATCTACTATAGTCTGTTTAGGCTGTAGTGGGGTAGTTCTTAGAGGGTACAACACTTTTGTGTTTTCTACTTGTACCCTTCTGCTTTCTAGTTCAACCATTCATTCCTATTATTCTCACATGGTATAGAGCGAGTTTTTCCTAAGGGCCCACCACTAAAACGATTTTTTTTTTCCTTACCTGCCCGACGCGCGCGTCGCGCCTGACCTTCGCGGCCCGTAGCGGCCCCTCCCTCACGGCCCGTAGAGGCCCCTTTGAGCCCGTAGTGGCCCCTTCGTGGCCCGTAGCGGCCCCCCCTTGCGGCCCGTGGCGACCCTTTCACGGCCCGTCGCGGCCCCTTCTAGGCCCGTCGCGGCCCCTTACGCGCATCGGCCCCTTCCGCGGCCCCTTATGCGGCCAGGCCCGTCGCGGCCCCCTTTCACAGCCCTTCGCGGCCCTGTCTAGGCCCGTCGCGGCCCCTTCTAGGCCCTTCGCGGCCCCTTCTAGGCCCGTCGCGGCCCCTACTAGGCCCGTCGTGGCCCCTTTTAGGCCCGTCGCGGCCCCTTTCACGGCCCGTCGCGGCCCCTTTCACGGCCCGTCGCGGCCCCTTCTCGGCCCTTCGCGGCCCCTTCTAGGCCCGTCGCGGCCCCTTCTAGGCCCGTCGCGGCCCCTTCTAGGCCCGTCGCGGCCCCTTCTAGGCCCGTCGCGGCCCCTTCTAGGCCCGTCGCGGCCCCTTCTAGGCCCGTCGCGGCCCCTTCTAGGCCCGTCGCGGCCCCTTACGCGGCCCCGCATCGGCCCCGACCCTGTCGCGGCCCTGCCCCGCCCTACAGCAGCCGCCGTCGCGGGCTGCCCCGCCCTGCAGCAGCTGCCGTCGCGGCCTTGCCCCGCGCAGCAGCAGCTGCCGTCGCGGCCCTGGCCCGCCCTACAGCAGCCGCCGTCGCGGGCTGCCCCGCCCTGCAGCAGCTGCCGTCGCGGCCCTGCCCCGCGCTGCAGCAGCTGCCGTCGCGGCCCTGTCCCCGCCCTGCTACAGCTGCCGTCGCGGCCCTGCCCCGCCCTGCAGCAGCTGCCGCGGAGATCCCTGCCGCGGTCGCGGCCCCTCCCTACCGCTGTAGCGACCCCGCCGTCGCTGCCGTCGTGCGCCTGCCCTTCCCACCACTGGTGAGCACTGTCCTGCCCGCGCTGCTCCTGCTGTTACTGCTGCTACTACTGCTACTGTTGCTCCTGCTGCTACTGCTGCTACTGCTGCTCCTGCTGCTACTGCTGCTCCTGCTGCTCCTGCTGCTACTGCTGCTCCTGGCGTGGCCAGATGCAGCTCCAGGGCCGTCCTCGTGAGTCCCTCACGCCCCAGCAGCTTCGTGAGTGGTACACTAGTTGGGGTTGTCGGGGTGGCCGTAGTGGGATTCGCCCTGGAGTGGGTAGTTCGGGAGCTTCAGGTAGTGGCCAGGTGCAGCTGCAGCGTCGTCCGCGCGAGGCTCTTTCGCCCCAGCAGCTTCGTGAGTGGTACGCGCAGAGTAGAGGGTCGCAGAGTCCTGCTCGCTGCCCGTACGTCATTCGCACGGGTGTCCGGACTGGTCAGCCTTGCGGGACGGTTGGTCACACAGGGTCCCGCTGCT